TAGTTGTCTTTCCCAGGAATGGTGAAGAAGATTAAGGGTTTTCTTCCCCGCTGAGATGCCAAGGCCAGTTAAGAATTTGGGGAGCACAACAGCAAAAGTCTATATTAAATGTAATTTAAACTGCCCTTTGAACCTTACAAGATCCACTTTAGAGATGCTATAGTTTAAATAATGAAACATTAAATGTACTACATAAGACTACATAATCTCTCTGGTAAGAGAGGTTTGGAGCCGTAAAAATGTTAATTTTTAATGATAATTAAAGCATGATTCAAGATTTTTTTCTTGTTGTTAGTTGCGAAGTTGTGTCCGACCCATCGTGACCCCATGGACAACGTTCCNCCCTAACCCTTACTTTCATCACTACACCAAACCACACTATTATAAAGGAGATACATTTATTTTGAATTATTGTAGATGCACCCATTTGGAATGTTAAACATATGAAGTAAGATTATATAGTAAGTGATTATTAGTCTGGCTACCTCAATGTATCTTTTCCTGACTTTGAAATTCCAGTTTAATTTATGCATTTACATAGCTAATTATGAGGTGTTCAATCATGTTTTCCCTATCAGACCACTTGGCCTGTTGGCAAGGTTGATGATGGGAGTTGTAGTCCAACACCAGCAGTAAATCTATATTTGGAAAAGGCTGACCTGCTCCTCAGCCGAAGAATATTCCCTTGCTGTTGCTATCTGATTACTTTAAGTGGGATTTCTTTGGGTTTGAGCACAGGCTGTTTTGTACATGCAAGGAAAGCAACCTTTTTCTATCTTTGTTTACTTGAGTGGTATATGTAATCAGAATCTCTTGAACCCCAAGCAGTATTCTTTATTGCTATTGCTAACAATGTATAATTATAATGGGAGTTCACTAATGATTAATCCCTTTCCCATCCCAATAAAAATTTAATAACACAGTGTACTTAGAGATAGTTTGTAATTGTCCTAATCATAGGAACTGGAATGTATAGTTAACTTATTTTTGAAAAGCGTCTATAAAACATTATGACATCGTTTCTAGTTTCATAAATTTTCAGAAATCAGGTAGCTGGGCATTGACATCATTCATTAATTGTCATCTGTCCTAGACTTCTGGGTTTAACTTGAAAAGAGTTATTATTTTATAGCGTGAATCACAATTCTGATTTGTTGTCTTATTTCTGATTTCTACAAGCTTTTCTGGGAGCCTTTTTTTAAACTGAAAATCAGGTTTTAAATTATTTATTTAATTAAGGTTTATCCTAGATTTATGCTAATATTTTAGATTTATTGACCTGTGTATCAGTTGTATTTTCCAGTCACTTAAAAAGAGGTTTTTTTTTGGTTCTGAAAAGGAATGTTCAGAAAACAAAAATGTATTTGAAATTGTAAATGGATGACAACCAGTTTGGTTAATTGATTTTAGACAATTATCTGCTGTTGATTTGTTGATTTTACTTTGGGGTTTGGGTGTAGAACTATTTGCAAAGTCTATACAGATTAAATATCTATGGAGATTCTCAGTCATCCAGGTCATGGTTGTCCCAAAGGTGCTATTTCAAGAGGCAACTGGACTTTCTGGGTTTTCTTTGAAGACATTTAACTTCTCATCCAAGAAGCTTCTTCAGCTCAGCTTCTTGGATGAGAAACAAAACATCTTCAAAGAAAAACAAGAAAGTCCAGTTGCCTCTTGAAAAAGCACCTTTGGGTCTATACAGATTATTATTTTTAGAGTCAGTTTGGCCAGGGGTGTCTGGGTCTGCCTGCCTGCCTATCTCCTGCCCATCACACATATGTAACTTTACAATACATGGGGTACAATAAAACAGATAAAATTAATAAAATCCATAATATAAAATAAAAACATATAGGAGACAAGCATCATAAAATGACCATCAACAAAGCCTAAAGTGATAGATTCTGTCAAGCATTTATCCATTTTGGAAGGATTTAAGGGGGGGGGGGGAAGAATCTGAAAAAGGTCACTGAAAAAGAACCAGAAATTTATTTCCCATGCTTATGTAGACACCTTCATATAATTTTATTTGCACTAATATATAAGGGTTTTACAACTGCCTTCTTGATTTTTTTTAAACACACCAGTTTAGATTACAGTCTGGATTTTCCAATGGTCCTTTGTATCATAGTATATTACATATAGCATATGTATCAAACTTTCCATGAAAAATGCATGCAAAGTTTTTAGCTTGTTTGCACTTACTGCACACAGATCTCTCTGCTTCTACTAGTCCAGCTTTCTAAATAGATTTGTGACAGCTGATGAATCAAGTGATGTTATGAGTTTTAAGGATAGTTGGTTAATATAGGATTAAATGTAATCATAAAGAGCAGGCACTTTTATTCCTCTAATATTGGTCATTCATTGGTTGTGGAAACCAAATGGGTGAAACCAACACCATAGAATTCTTGAAGTCTTCTGCTGTGCCTGCAAAATATCGTTTTCATGTTTATCATTGTATTATGCTTATTTCAAAAATAAAGGATAAATTGGATGGCCAGGAGTTCCTCAACCTATAGAACTGGGCCCCAGCTGCTTGCTTGCTTTGTTCCACTGAAAACATCTGGACTCTCTAGGATCCAGACACATGAGGAAAATGAAGTGAAGTCCTAGAGGAGGTATTCCAGTATAGGTCCCACTGCAGCTGAATGGGGGGTAAAGCAGTGGTGGGATTCATTTTTTTTTACTACCAGTTCTATGGGCGTGGCGTGGTGTGGCTTGGTGGGTGTGGCTTGGTGAACATAGCAGGGGAAGGATACTATAAAATCTCCATTTTCCACTCCAGGGGAAGGTTACTGCAAAATCCCCCTTCCCTCCCGATCAGCTTGGACTCGGGAGGCAGAGAATCGATGGGGGCAGGGCCAGTCACTGGTTCTCCAAACTACTCAAAATTTCTGCTACCCGTTCTCCAGAACTGGTCAGAACCTGCTGAATACCACCTTTGAGGTAGAGGAATTTTC